TATTGAGTTTAAGTAATCAAATCATTTAAATTTATTTGGCCACACTTTAAGCACTTTTTATTACAAAATATCTATCACTTTAACTTAAATATGTCCCTTGGATATGATCTCATGTCTTCATTCCCACTTTAACTGCTCTCTGTTTAAAGCCTCAGTTTTCTCGTAGTAAAACTATGAATAATAATAGTACCCCAACTTTTTGTGAATCAAATGAGGTCTCATAGTACAGTGTTTTTTTCTGATAGTTAAATGCCCAATAAATATCATATATTAACAATATTAGCTATTTACATACTCTTCTATTACATATACTTTTTCCCTCTATTAAGATTTCTACTGAATAATCAGCCGGTATAAGTAATACAAGCTACAGCTGTGTAAGGGACTTGATAATTCCTATTCTAGATTAATCAAAATATAAATGGCCAGTTCTTTTGAGGGGAAGAAAAGGAAAAAGGGAAGTCATTGTTGATTGTCAACTTCATAAAGTTTTGTAAGTTAAATCCAGGCTATATTTGGAGGTTATAGCATATAAATCTATTATACTCATTTTCCAGAATATTCTTTTCATGTTATTATTACAGGGTTAAGACACTTTATCTTTGTTGGAATATCTGCTTATTTTACATATTTACATGTTAGAAAAAATCAAGAATGAATGGCGGACTTAAACCTGGTAGAATATAGATATTCATTTCATCAAATTTAAAGCAATTTAAACTAAAGAAATTAAGAAAATAAATAAAAAGTACCCATGTTAACACATTGATGATAAATATGTTATTTTATGACATGTACTTTTTATTATTACATGATTAAAATTGTTGATAAGTTAAAATGATTAATTATAAAAAAAGTATTTTTATAGAAAAATCCTACCTTATTCCAGAACAGGAGAGAACAGAGGATTAAATCGCTACTTTAAAACATATATAGCAAGAAAAATAAAATGTAAATAAGAATTATATTTTTTGAGAATTGTATGTTCCACAAAAGTGAAAAATAAATAAAATTATTACTTTATTTTTACAGATGTGACTAATACTTTATTAAATCCTAACATTATATAATTGCTTTTTTAATCATCCCAATCAGGTGCAATTGTTTTACTTCTAATTCCCAAGGAGATATAGCATGGCTGTTTAAAAGGTTTTCTTCAATGGCTACAGTTTCTATTTGATATAAAAACAAGAATAATTAATGCTAAAATTATTATAATTTTGTCTCCCCTCAAACACAGAGTATAACCATTATGGAGATCAATCTTTCAATAAGAAAAGAAAGTAAGGCAATAGTATTCACACCAAGTAATTGTTCCTGTGTATATTTAACTAATTGCTTTTAGAACTCAAGTAATTGCAAGAGGAAAATACTTCTTTGGTCTTTCATTAAACCCCATCATTCTTTATTGTGCTTTAAAATCTTACTCCTAATTTGTTTATTAATTAAGTGAAAAGGAGCAATAGGGGTTTACCACCTCTCTTTTCTTCAGACCCAAAGGCAAATGCATATTTTCACGTGTATTACCTGTCATTTCACATATTATACATTAGCTTATTTTAGCTACTTGGTTCCACACAGTAAATCTGACAAGAGAGCAAAAACATGTTTTTCCCCTCAAATTCAGCCAAGACACAATTATACTGACTGCTTTAATTTCCATGTTTTTGTACATTTTTACTTTTGAGAATGTTATTCTTAAGCTTCAAGCTCTTTGGGGACACAGAGCCCAGCACGTTGGAAGGCCCTCCTACCTCCCCCAAAATGAAGTTTTCTCATAGTCTTTTATGCTGTTGCTGTTTTTTCAATTTAAAAGCTATAGCATGTCTTACATTTATGTTACATCTTTCTAACAAAAACATCTTAAATGTAAATCTAGAAAGAACATCACTCTCCACTTATAAATCGATAAACGAATCTATAGATCAGTTTTAGTTTTGGTGGAAACCATCCCAGAGCACTTCAAGGAAAACTTAATAACTGAGTTTATCACAAAAACATTTTACAAAAAGTCTTTATCAATATTGGAAGATTCTAATTGCCCAGATCCTGTGATGCGTAATAGATGCTCTGAAAGGAACAAAGATGAGTATTATGGAACAAAATCACTTGGAAATTGGAATCGAGTTCTTACCTCACTTCCCTTGATATTCTCCAGAATGACTTAGATTTTTATTTTCTTAACAATTAAAAAGAACTCTCTCAAAAATATATTACTCATATGAAAGTTGTTCTAAATAGTTTTTAAGGTGGATTCAGATTTATGCCAGCTATGGCTTTCTATTTATGGATATAATCTCTAGCTTTTTAATAATTTCTTAATGGGCTTTATTGTCTTATTTTACTTAACAGAGGAGAGAAATTGCATTTCTGGGACAGTCACAGGTGGGAAAAAACAGTCTAGTGTAATATTTAAGAATCTGGGTTCTGAAATCAGGCAGACTTAGTTTCAGATATTGGTTCTATACTCTTTAGTTTTTGTAATATTGGACAGGTTAATCTTCCTAAATCTAGTTTTTTCACCTGTAAAATAAGATTAGTAATGACACTTGACTCATAGGATTATTAAGAGAATTAAAGGAACTACACATGTAAAGTCCCTATCCCAGTCCGTTGCTTAGAAACACTAGTTTATCAGTAAAATGAAGCAAAACTATAAGACTTCTGATTATATATATATAATGATACATAAATTTTGTTTTATTTAAATGATTGGTAAGATGATGTTTGCAGTCCACATTTTTAATCCTTTTAAAAATGTAACCCTTTAAAAATAAACCCTTTGAAAAAATAAACATTTTTACACTTTCAAAATGTAAGTAAAATATGTACGTATGTATATGTGTATCTCTATATATCATATATGTGATCGGATTTTGTTATTGTTACTGCTTTTGTATAGTGATAGCTTATTTATACATACCACCAATATTCATTTTTTCTAAGTTTTTAAATTGATATGGTCCTCTTTATTGTCACATAACCTTGATAGTCAGAATATTATGATATTATGTGTAGATTCTCTGGTTTCTTTGTTGTTATGTGTATTAGATAGATGAGCTAGAACAAATTTGCTGGATGGATTAAGAGATTGATTAATTCATTGATTAATCTCTCTCTCTCTCTCATTACCTATTTATCATCTATATATCTACCTACCTACAATATCCTACCTACCTACTAAGGATGTAAATAATTCAATCTGTTAATCAGTACTACCATTATACAAAACAATTTGATGTCTGTTAAGTTCTACTAGTGTCTGTTCGTTTCTTCTTTATATTCCTACAACCTAGCACAATGCCTGGAATATATTAAGTTAGTAAATGAATGAAAGGGTGAATATCAATTATGTGTCTGTAATCCTGCAATTTGTGTCATTATTGTAATATACAATTTAAAAAATAATGTGTACAAGTGCTGAATCCTACATTTATAAATATAGTTTAATAACAGCTTAAATGGATATTTAATAGCTTCTTTGTCTTGATATCTAATCGGCATATGCTTTAGGATAAATCTATTTTTGTGATAATTCAAAGTAATATTTTATTTCATTAACCTGAATTATTCAAGTTAACTATTATTAAATGTGCCATATACTATGCATAGAAGAATGGTTACTTTCCTTAACTCTCATACTATTCTCCTCTGATGATATTTTTTAACTTTTTGTTTTTAAATAATTTTAGATTTAGATACAATTGTAAGAAATAATAAAGACAGAGTCTATATACTCTTCACCCAGTTTTCCTCAATGATAACTTCTTGCATAACTATAACATATCACAACCAGAAAATAGACATCAATACAATCCACTGATCTTATTCAGATTTTACAAGCTTTATGTATACTCATTTGAGTGTTTATTTATCTCTGTAGTTTTGTATGACCACCACCACTGCAGTCAAGATATAGTACAATTCCATCACAAGGATCCCCCATGTTACTCTTTTGTAGCCATAGTCACCTCCTTCCATCCCTTCCCCCTACAACCTCTGATAACCACTAATCTGTTTTTCAACCTCATAAGTTTGTCATTTCAAGAATGTTTCACAGATAAAGTCCAACCTTTTGAAATTGTATTTTTTTTTTTTTTTTACTCAGCGTAATTTCTTTCAGGTTCATCCAAGTTGTCATGTATCATCATTTTTTTTTTTTTAATGTTTAGTTATTCACCATTTGAAAGGCATTTGGGTTGTTCCTAGTTTCCAAATATTACAAATAAAGCTACTATGAGCATTTGTGTTCAGGTATTTATGTGAACATAGTTTTTATTTCTCTGGGGTAAATGAGCAAGAGTGCAGTATTTGGGTCGTATGGTAAACACATGTTTAGTTTTGCAAGAAACTGTCATACTTCTTTCCAGAGTGGCAGTACTATTTTACATTCCCACCAGCAATGTATGAGTAATTCAGTTTTCTCCAGAATCTTGTCAGCATTTGATGATATATTTTTTATCTTAGCTGACCTGATAGGTATGAGGTGATATCTCATTGTGGTTTTAATTTGCATTTCCCTAATGGCTAATGATGTTGAATATCTTTTTACATGCCATCTGGTATCTTCTCTATTGAAATATTTTTTTGTTTATATTTTAATATTTTTTCTTTTTCTTCTTTCACAGCTGAGTTTTAAGAGTTCAAGATACTAGTCCTTTGTGTTATATATGCCATGCAGACATGTTCTCCTAGTCTGCAGCTTTCTTTTTTATCCTCTTCACAGTATCTTTCACAGAGCATCTGATAATTTTGAGTAAATCTAGTATTTGGTTACTGAAATACCATACCCCCTCTTGAAATAAATTAGCGCACAAATTATTTAACAAAAAAATGTTAAAGTATTTATTATGCAGACATTTAAAAATTGCTCAAGAATTTTTAAAGTTAATTTTCTGAAAGCACATCAGTATATGGAAGATTCTAAACTGTAAGATCTGGAACTTCAAAATTGCTTTTGGTACCATCAAAACTAAAGGCTTGTTTCTACCTTTTAATAGGTTCTGTTGCCACTGCATGCCGTGACCCAGGTGTTCCCATGAATGGAACTCGAAATGGGGATGGACGAGAACCTGGAGACACTGTTGTTTTTCAGTGTGATCCAGGTTATGAGCTTCAAGGAGAGGAAAGAATAACCTGCATTCAGGTAGAAAATCGGTACTTCTGGCAGCCCAGCCCACCAGTCTGTATAGGTATGAATTAAAGAACAATTAAAACTTTATACAAGTAGAAAAAAATGTTTAAAAATGGTCATTGGTATCATTAATTAAGAACAATATTCTAGAATAGGTTTTATATGAGAGTCTATGATTTCAGAGGTCTATGAACATTCAAAAACTGTAAAAAAATTGAAATGATTATTATTTCACCCCGAGGGAGAGGGTCCATAATTTCATTAGATTCCCAATGATTCTAAGATCCTTAAAAAAAAAAAAAAAAGTTAAGAATCAAAGCTCCTAAAAAATCCTGATCTTTCCTATCTACTATATAAATGGAGTTGTTCACTGCTTTTAATAAAGTGTGGATTCAGACTCCACTTTTTAAATGGGTCGTATTGATCTCGCCTCTACAATGGTTACTTCTGAGAAAGAATTTTATCAGAACTTATATTTGAGTTTTAAATCTTTGACTTTTCATTCAATTCATATATTCTAAAAGAATATAAGTTTTTATTTTGATGATCTAAGGATTTGCAGCAGTTAGGTTCATACTTTCAACTGTCTACTTTTAGTCTCCATGCCCTGTTCTTGATCCCTAAATTAGACTAGGAATTAAGGTACATATTACTTCTTTCCTAGGCCTGAAAAAGAGAAGATGTACCACCTTTGGAGAATACTTGCTATATAATCCTTTTTAAAAAAATCTCATTATTATTATTATTTTTTTACATTAAACAAGTTCAGTCTCAAACCTTTTAGCTTAAGTGTTTTAGAATTGGCATCATTTTGAATTTATAATATTTTGATCAAAGTGTGTACTCTACTTAAAATGTATTTCTTTAAATATTTTCTTTCTTATTACATTGTAACTTGAGAGAAGATTCCATTACTTGTTGACCATTGTATTATAATATTCAGCACAAGCGAATTTAGCACATTTAGGAGAGAAAGCATCAGTTTTATTTACATATCTCCAACACATAAATGCATTTGAAATAATTGTTTTACAGTAATAAGAAAAGAGTGTTTTTGTACATCAGTTAGAAATGAACAAACTCAAGGACTCATTTATATTTATTTTGCCCCATTTTGTAACTTTTTATGTGAGTTACAAACTCAAATTTACTAGTCATTCACTGTGTCCTAGATATTGTTCTGAACATTGAGGATTTATCAGTAAAACATAATAGAGAAATTCCTTGCTCTTATGAAGCTACTTTATGGTGAAATGAAACTATAAATCTGAATATTCACTTTATATTTTCTGTACTTTATATGTTGGCATTTTAAAAACACTTAATGCACAGAACAAAACAGATCCAAAAGCTTGAACCAGCCAAGGAACAAACTGACAATTCTATGCTTATGTGGAAAATGAGGCAGATAACAAGGGAAAATCAGATTAAAGAGAGTTTTAAAAAATATACAAAATAAAGGTATAGCTTGAGTCAGTTCAAATTCAGCTATATCTCCCTTGACACTGTATTATTTCTGTTTATACCTCTTCATGAACCACTGCAAGATTCTAAACCATCAAACATTAATTAATATATGTTTTCTCATAAAAGCAAGGAGAAAGTACTGTTAGGAAACATTTTCAAAGAAAAAAAGACCAAAACAATGAAGTTTTCATTTGTTTGTTTACTATTCAATTAACCAAAAAAGTCCTATTAAATTAAAATGCCACATGTCAGTTAATTGGAATTTGACTGAGTATCTTGTAAAGAGAATCTGTAAAGAAGAAATGGCATGACACCACAAACTTGCTGTAAAACTTCTTGCTTTATTGTGATCCTTAGACATGGTTAAAGGGTGTTGCTTATTAGAATTACCAGAGAGCTATATTATGTCAAATGTTTTTATGTTTAGAGTCCTAAAATATTAACAGCTTTATACTGAAATTCTAGAAAATACAACATTATAAATCATAAAGAAAATAAGAGTCTTGAAATAGGCTGTTATAAAATTCTATTTGTAGGTAAAACTATAGCTAGCAAGCCCTAATTCTAAAAAAGAAAAAGTGAACACTAAATCATACTTAAATCAAGCAAGTTGCGGAAAATTTTTGTATGGCTTACAGTGCTGTGTATTTTTTTGGTAGGAAAAGATAGCTTGAGGAGAGGATATGCATTAGAGCTTCTCTGAGAAAGAAAATAACCTAAAAATAAAATGTCTGAAAAATTGCTAAGCCTGCAGAATGCTTGACCTCTGAAACTGATAAGAAAGAACTCCATGATTGGAAACACTATGCCAAAGATTAAACCCTGAACTTTTGAGAAATTCCATAACTCTGTGTCTCAGACCCTGGAGCATAAAGCATTTTGTTTGCATGTAGAAGTAGTCAGCCTTCTGGCAAGTCCCAAACAGAAGGGCGCCATCTTTAAAAGATAATAGATTTCATTCTAACAAAATTGACAGTGTGGAGATTACTTTGACCTTGCCAGAGGGAAAGCAGCAGTACTCAATATGAAGGTAAATTACAAAGACATTTGTGTGGGTAGGTGCTGAGAAAGACGGTAAACACAAATAAAACTGAATTGGGGCAAAAAATTAAGAAAATTGTAAAAGAGTTATCTGTAGTTGCCTGTATAACTGCCTCACAAGAAACTGCACTCAGGACAAATTGTTAGTATCAGAATTCCATGGAACCTAACTGAATATTTAATTCATAAATTTGATTTAAAGAGAATCTTAATCTGAATGCTTTATGATTAGATGCATGAAATAAATATGTATTTTCCAAATGGAATTTAAAGTTTAGTATATTAATGCAAGGAGAATTTTTTTTTTTACTCACTGAGTGTTTGAGATATACAAATGTCAGATAATATCATTATCTTATAGATTAGTGATGAATGCAGACACCCAAATGGAATTTTAAGTAAAATATGGTAAGAGAAATAATAAAGATAGGCAGAAGTTGCTATGGCTACCAGAGTAGTTTGGAGAGAGTTTCAACAGATCCCAGCTGGAAATTTTCAGGAAAACTTCCTGGAACCAAAATGAATCTTTAAACATAAGAGTTATATAATTGTAAAAGGGAAAAAAAACATTTCAGGGAAAGCATAGGCAAAAGCATGGAAGTACCAGGAACTATAAGCAGTTGATGGTATTCACATGTAAGCTGTGTGTTTAGAGTGGCGATTGAATCAATTCGAAAGGTTTCAGGGGTCAGGTTATGAAATCTGTTCTAGAATTAGATCATTATCTTTTAGACAATGTGAAACAACTGCAGAATTTTATGCATGGGCGTAGTGTGATTAGAGGTTTTTACTAAGGGAGGGATGAATTAGAGGAAACTAGAGGCATGGGAAACAAAAAGACATTGCAATAATTCTGGAGACATAAAAGTCAGATCTAGAAATATGATAGTAGGTGAAGAAAAAAAGAGATGGGTGAAAGAAAATATCTACGAGGATCTGTGAGATAGCTTGTTGATGGATTGAATACAAGTATGCAGTGAAGAAAAAGGAAGAATCTTTCGCCACTAGCTTGAAAATATGGATGAAAAGAAAAAGAAAAATTAAGTTGAGATTTGGATATATTGGACAATCTGTGTTTGATGTACTATAGGCTACATGGTAGAGATAACTAGTAAGCATTTGGGCATATGATTTAGAATTAAGCAGAGAAATCTGATGGAGAGGGTAGGAAAAAGAAGTCATCAGTGTATAAATGGAAGATAAAGTAAAAAAAAAATAGATATGGTCAACAAGGAAGAATGTAATAGAATGGAAATTAGAGACAACTAGGTAAGTAACTCAGGAGGATACCAGAAATGTAAAATGAAGTGCAAAGAATAAGTGCTTGGCAATAAAAATTTGAACAAAGATATTAAAAGAAAATTAGAAATGGAGTTCCAAAAACAAAGAGAGTGAATTTAAGGTGAAAATCAACAATTAAGAATGACTAGATATGAAGAGAAAGATAAAGGCAGAAAAGTCTCTATTAGTCAATACAAGTCACTTCAGGGTGAGGTTAGATGCCTTTGTGTTGGGAGCAAGAAGGCTGAGGGAGATAACAATGGCTGGAGAGAAAATGAAAGTTGAAAAAGACCAGATACATAAAAACAGAGTGAATTTAAGGTGAAAATCAACAATTAAGAATGACTAGATATGAAGAGAAAGATAAAGGCAGAAAAGTCTCTATTAATCAATACAAGTCACTTCAGGGTGAGGTTAGATGCCTTTGTGTTGGGAGCAAGAAGGCTGAGGGAGATAACAATGGCTGGAGAGAAAATGAAAGTTGAAAAAGACCAGATACAAACATCTAGATCCCTAAGCAACAAAAAGATTATTGTCTCTAAATATAATTTTACAAAAAATAAGTTTTCTCAGGATGAATACTTTGGTGCTTTTTTTTGAAGTATAATATAAGAAACTATTTGCCCAGTAGTGACCTGCTTTGCTAATCATATTGGTCAGCCTATAGGTAAATACAGCACATAGATGAAGAAACAATGAGATTAGACTTCCTTTTCAAAAGACTTAGTTGTAAAATAAAAAATATGAAATAGAGACCTTTATTTAAAACATTATTGCAAGTTGAGGGCAAGGGACAAGGATAACTATGATAGGGAGAACAATGTGACCTTAAGATCTACAAGCATCTCTTAAGTGAAATAAGTTAGTCAGAGAAAGACAAATACCATGTGATTTCACTTGTATGTGAAATCTAAAGAACAAAATAAACAAAATAGAAACAGACTCATAGATACAGAGAACAAATAGATGGTTGCCAGATGAAAGGGAAGTTGGGGGCTGGGTGAAAAAGGTGAAGGGATTAAGAAGTACAAATTGGTAGTTACCAAATAATCATGGGCATATGAAGTACAGCATAGGGAGTATAGTCAATAATATAATAACCATGAATAGTGCCAGGTAGATACTAAGACCAATCAGAGGGGCCACTTCATAAATTATATAAATGTCTAACCACTATGCTATACACCTGAAACTAATATAAAATAATATTGAATGACAACTGTAACTGAAAGAAAAAAAAAAAGATCTATAAGCATCTTGAGAGTTAGGCAAAAGGGATTTTTCTTTTATAGAGATGAGTACAGAAGGCTAGAAAGAACCAGGTGTTGGATGTGGTTCCATACTGTAGTGGTTATCACGTCTGCTTTCCACACAGAAGGTCCTGGGTTCATGCCCCAGTGAAGCCATGGTCCATGGTCTACAGCCATACCACCTTGAATAAGCCAGATGTCTGATCTCAGAAGCTAAGTAGGGTTGGGCCTGGTTAGTACTTGGCTGGGAGACCACCTAGGAAGGCCAGGTGCTGTAGGCATAAATAATAATAATAAAGAAAGAAAAAGAAAAAAAAAAATTAAAAAGAACCAAGTGTTAGGAAACGGGAGGAAAGGGTAGCGAGATGGGTAGTAGATCAGAGAATGTTGTACTCTGAGTCCAGCCTATCCTAAGAAGGGGTTGTATGGTGGCTCAATGTCAAGGGCAGGCCAAGGGTCAGGGGCATAGAGGAAGGAAAAAAGTTTAACCAAAGTTTAACGAGCCTTTTATTCTGATTATTCAGTGAGAACAAGCAATTCAGTTAACAATTTGAGTCAAATGGAATTTACAGGGTCTGTGTTTGGTCTTGTCATGAGAAAATGAGATGGGTTTCTTTAAGGGATCTTATCTAAGAAATGATAAGACATAGTGAGAGGGGTGAGAGTCAGCTCATTTAACCAAACACAAAATCGTGAGGGGATATCTTAATCATCAGGTAAAATTCAACATTTTTAGATGAAAAAAAAAGTGAAAAGAAATAGGTCATAGAGAACTTAGTTTTATTTTTAAGATGGAAGAGACTTGAGCATGTTTGTGGACAAAAGGAAAGAAGCCAGAAAGAGTAAAGGGTATAAATGAATAAAAGCTCTGAAGACAGGGATTATGTGCCCAGGTTGAGGGTGTTATCCTGCTTAACAGGAAGACTCTATCCTCTGATTGTAGAGAGGAGGCAATGAAGTTTGAAAAGGAAGGGCTTCGGAAAGTTGAGATATTTTATGTCTGTTGGGTCTTTTAATAAGGTACCACAAAAATGCACAGGCTATAGATAAGCAGTAGTGAATAAATTAAGTCTGAGCCAATAAATATTCTCCATAGAGTAGGAGCTGAGGTCATCTACTATGATGAAGGTACTGAGGCAAGAGTAGCAGAGGGGCATGGGGAAATGTAGTAGTGGACATCCGTAATTTAGACGGCAAAAATCACCAAATTGTAATGATGATTTTGAATATCTAGAATCTAGACTCAGGCAAAGAACAGAGATCTGAAATGGTTCCGGAACCAAAATTCTCCTTCCCAAACCAGTTTTATGCTGTCAAAGGAATTCAGTGTGCCTTATAGCTGAATGTTAAAATTAATCTGAGAAAACTATAATTTTAAAGAAGAATGCTGATGTGCTGATTATGTGTAAGAGATATAATGTGATCATGAGAATCTCAGTGTCTCTCACTCCTCTTCCCCCACCCCTTCTCCCCTTCCCTCTCTCTCATGTTTATAATCCCACTGTCCCACTTCACCACACCAGGACTTCCACATCTTTATTTTTCTATTTTTCTGAAGCTGCCAACTCTGCGTAATATTTGTGTGTATGATGATAAACTGTGTTTAACAGACTTCAACAATAATCCCCTAAAGAATCTATTCTCTGAATTTCACTAACAATTTTTTGAGCCTTTCCATTGAAGTGTTACAGAAACCTTTATTTAGAGCTGCAATAATAACTGTAGTAACCATCCATTTTTACTAACAAGTTAGGCAACTAGAATTTAGAAATATCCTAACACTCAATATACGGGTATTTTATTATGAAGTGCTGTAGGTTCTCAGATAATTATCCATTCTCACTCATTAACTATATCACAGGCTCTTTATAAAATACATTAAAAAAATACCAGGGAAGATGTAAAAATTAGCCAACTATCTCATATCCTATTATTCCAGTTATTATTAGAGGTTTTGTTTTGCTTTGTTTTGTTTCTAACTTTTCTAGTATCCTTCAGATTTTTTTTTTATCAGTAACCATGGAGAAACCATCTTTACCCCTCTTCTCAATGCTTTTCTTGTGCGTGAAAAAAAAAAAGTAGTAATAGAAAGAGAGATAAGTATATATGTAATTTTTTCTTGTCCTTTGAAGCCAGTAAGGGATCTAAATTCAGTATATCCACATATGTACGTATTTAATATTTTAATGGTCTTTCTTGAAAGATGATGCTGTATTCAGGCATTTAGTTCTATAAAAAGTCAGGTCTGTACAAAACCTCCTAAACCTGTTTAGAAAACTGTTCTCACAAATATTGATAGCTAATAACTTTTATTAATCACTTAAGGCTTTTGTTGTTTGTTTGCTTATTTAAAGCACCCTGTGGAGGCAATTTAACAGGATCATCAGGCTTTATTCTTTCGCCAAACTTCCCTCATCCATATCCCCACAGCAGGGACTGTGATTGGACCATCACTGTCAACACAGACTATGTTATCTCCTTGGCATTTATCAGGTGAGTACCTATACATTTCCACATTTAAAAAATCTTTTTGTCATTGCTTTAGCATTTGCTTAGGCAAATTTTTATTTGTATATGTGACATTTTTTATTATTGTTTACTAATTCCAATACTGATACTTCGCAATCAACAGTTTACAAATCTTTGTATAATAGCAGAGATGCCAATGTGGTTCTGAAAGCTAGTGGGTGATCATCTTCACCAGATTCCAGTGTAGAGGAAACATGTTAAAGGTCGAGTGGTTTATCGATTCTCATGAAATGTGATCTCTTTATAACCTTTCCTCCCTCCTGTATTACCATCACTGGTTCAGAAAATTCAGTTTTTCCTTAACTTCAGGATTAAAAGGTCAATAATTCAAGAATTTTTTTCTCCCATGTGTACACCATATTTTCTAAGCATCTGAACATCCATATGTGCAGCACTATATAGTCTTCTTACCACTCTCACTGGTGGTCTTATTAAATCAAGCTGACAAAGAGGAATTTGTTGGATCATTTCCAGATTTCTTAGCAAAACTTGTTCCATGATAGAACTTTACATGGGAATATTTTAAAATTTACATTTGTTGTTTAGCCCTGCAATTAATAGCAAGTTAGCTTAGAACTAACTGAAGAATACGGCTGCTTGTGTGGGAAAGAAAGTAGCTGAGTTTGAGCCCTAGCTCTGCCACTGTCATCTGTGTTACCTTGGGTAAGCTATTTATCTGAATAAGCCTCTGTTTTCTCACATAAAGCTAATAGCTATTATCACAAACCTGGACCTAACTCTTCCCCTAGAGGTTTCAATGAGAGTGTTGGACATCAGCAAATCAAAGAGTTCCTAAGTAGACACGTTACTAATCTTCAGTGTCTAAGACCGATGTATGTAGTCTCTAGTAACACAATCCCTCCTCCTGCTAGTGTGTTAAAGCGGCTTGGTATTTATATAAAATGTGGAGCTTAAAAATGCATTTTTTCTAACATTGAAGCTAGGTTTGAAAATTTAACTTTGGGTGGTGAACACACAATGCAATATACATATGACGTATTATTAGATCATACACTTGAAACTATATGATTTTATTAACCAATGTCACCCGATTATTTTAATAAAAAATAAAAAAAATTAAAGAAAAGATAGTTCGAACTCATGAAAATTTAACTGTAAATATATAGAATTTTTGTTTCTATAATTTATAGTGATATAGTGATAATTGGTAATAAAAAGCAACAGTGATGATGTTAGTTATATGCCGAAACCCAGTTATGACACAGCTCCCTGAGATAAGTATAATTATTACTCCCATTTTACAATTGAGAAAATGTCAGTACTGACATTAGAAATGATAAAATGTATGATTCAGGACTTAGTTTACTTATAAAATTGTTCTAGTTAGTAAATGAGTGGTAGAAGGCTGTATTAATGAAGTACATAACCTAAATTTGACTTCCAGCTGTGTCATTTGATAGACGACCTTAAGGAGGCCACTGACATTCCAGGGCCTCAGTGTACCCGTTGGGAAAATAGAAATAGTAAACCCTCCCTTATACCACAGGATTATTGACAAGACCACGTTAATATTTATGAAAGTGCTTGTAAAATAAAATATACTCTTAGAATGTACTATCTCTTCAGTTTTTCAGGATAGTAATCCTTATAGCTAAGATTATAAGATTTTCTAGACAAAAAGGCTTTTTTTTTGTTTTATCATCATTTCAAAGAAGTTACAAATCAATATTTTGACTTTTTTTTTTATTGAACCCCAAACTAGAATTAAAAAGAAATCTACTGCAATTCATTGTTAAGTAGGCATTTGGCCTTCCAAGGATAATACATACACTGTCACATCATTTACAAAACACTTATTTCTAGTGATTCTTCCAACACTGGGATAGATAAAGAAGTTCTAATTCTTGTGAAATCTTAATGTTGAAAGAGATGAAGTTCAGAAAGCTTGTGTTTTAGTCCAAGACAAGGATAGAAAGTTATAAAATAAGGCCTTAGCCTCTAATCTCCGCTATATTATAGCAAAACTTACCGAAATTTAGACCTCATATCCACTGAAAGGTTTTAAGAACAATTAATTGAATTAGATTTGTGAAACTACTGAATAAATTAAAACAAAATATAACAATGTGGTGGTCCTGCAGTTTTGTCATGTTACAGGGTACCCTTATACATGGAAAAGTTGGGAATCTCTGAATTATCCCAGTCTTTCTTCGTCACAATTTATGTACACGTAAGCTAACTGGATTCCTCTCTTTCACACATGCATACACAAAGGATTAGAATGGTGGAAACTTAACCTCTATAAATCCAGTAGATTTGGAAATAATATCTCCTACCTAAGAAGTTTCTTATTCAGATGCAATGAAAATAAAACTTCACACAATAGTTTCTCTGCTAATGGATGTTCAACAATTGCAAGCTTTACTGATTTTATCACAAACTTGTTGACTTTTCTTAATGACCCAGTTGAGTTCATCCTTTTCTTTGTCACAGTATGAATTAGGTAATAGAAAGATAAATGATTGCATATCTTCTGCCTTCTAAATATGTGAGTTCTATAATCATTATGGGACAATTCTCATACTTTTGAAAGTTAAGGCAAGTTTATTATGTAAATTTAGCAATGTTAAAATATTGATTTGAATATTTTACATGCTAAAATGTTCTTATTCCTACATTATTTAATTTTGACAAATAGTGTATTGATTTGATTTCTCCTACATTAAGTTCTAAAAGAAGAAAATATATTTATTTTCAGAAAAAAGAATACGTAATGCAGTATGCAGTATTTCATTTGAGTAATTTAAATGCAAATTTTGTGTTTCAAACTTTTGTTTGAATCTGATATGTGGAGTTGAATTTTAAAACAGCAAATCTACTCATTAATTTTGAAGTTCATGGCAAATAGTACCATTGACAAAGAAAAAAGAGATTGTGTTTCTGATGCAAAGTATTTGAATGAAAAAATTTGAAAAATAGATGCTGTCCTCTACATTTTACTGGCATAAAGTAATTACCTAAGGATATATAGTTTAACAATGGCAGAAGCAGAGCTTGAACCTACATCTCTGACTACAACTCCTATACTCTTTTGTTAACTAAACTATTTGCCTTACAATCATTTGTATTCTCTGTGTAGATACATGCCAACTTAGAAATATTTGAAAATATCTAGATGTCTTTTTTCTTTTCCACCACTGATTTGATATTCATATTCACCATTTTCAGAATAACTTATTTTGACGAGGTCAGTTGTAATTTTTAAAGATATTTACTGAATTAATATATGATTATATGATTTAAACTTACTACCTTACCAATAACCGTTCTACTTCCTTCTCTTCCTTCTTTCTCTGTCTCTGTTTCTTTTTTTTTTTTAGTTTTAGCATAGAACCAAACTATGACTTCCTCTATATATATGATGGACCAGACAGTAATAGCCCACTAATTGGAAGTTTTCAAGACAGCAAGTTACCAGAGAGAATAGAAAGCAGCTCAAATTCTATGCATTTGGCTTTTCGGAGTGATGGATCTGTTAGTTACACTGGATTTCATTTAGAATATAAAGGTAAATGAGAACATTTGATTTTAACATCATGATTTAAATTGTATTTTATACAGGAGGGAAATTTTGCATTGGCCATTGTCAGTGGTTATATGTGCAATTCTTAGCGCAGGCTACCTACAATTCATCTCATAAAAGAGCTCTCACTGTAGACTTTTCCCATCAGTGAGAAGGAAATTAATATTTCCCTAATTACTACCAAAGGAAATGTATCAGCAAACAAATTAGCAATTTAGTATACTCTGAGAGTTGGCTGAAACCACAAAATATTTTTTTTAAAAAACCTTTTCTTTGGAAGCTGAAGATTCATTTAAATATCTTCTAATCAGAGACTATCAGTGATAAAGAGAACAAAATACAGTGATAATCATGTTTCAGGAAATTTCTAAAGATATTTGAATGTGTCGATATTCAGAATTAAAATGCAGTGATTATTATAGCATTTTAGAATATTTCTGCAAGTATTTAAATGAATAAATATTATAATGCCTATGGATGTTTCTAAATATATTTTTAGTAAGTTTTATGCTCACTGACTATAAGAACAAATTAGATCTTAGTTGTTCATAGTTAATTTTTTTTTTTTATCAATGATTGAGGTCCTAAAGGACATGCTGATAATTCATCTCAAGTTATCGAGTTCTAAAAATACATTTTTTTGCATTTGTCATGGGAACAAGGGTTTGTTTCTTTAAGGCTATCACAAGAAGTCAGGGTAAATTCCACAACTTCACATTGCATAGGTTAAGGAAGGCTTTTTTAGGGAAAGGAAAAACTCACAAGTCGGCAAGATGTAGATGCTTGAAGTCGTCCAATATCTCTATCATTCCTTGGAAATGCATGCAAGGGCCAAGATACCCACTAGACGTGAGCAGGGTGTGGATTTCATCCCAATGAGAGATTGAGCCCTCAATGGGACTCTCATCTGACAAAGGAAAGTAAGAAATGGCCTTTCGGTAGGAGAATATACAAGCTGCTTGGTACCAGACAGTGAGGATTTAGAGTGCCAGCTATTTATTGGGACTGTCCGCAAATGCTAGCTGCTCCTAAACCAGGGGACCCTAGGGAAGCTTAAACCTTATGATCGTGGGCTAGGAAGTGTTGGTCTTATGGAGAGTTGAAGTTGAGCACTCTGTCAATCTCTTCAATTGCAAGAGGTTCCCCACACCATATTCCAGGACCCAGCTAGCTGGCAATCCAGGCAAATTATAATGAGCACTCAAGGCCCTTTTCAGACAGCCTACTTTTTTCATGACAGTATCTTCGTAATTCTGTGTTGCTTATCTTTTCTGTGTATGTATACTTGTATAAATTTTTATATTTTCTATCATGTGTACATCCTTTATACTATTTTCCTAATTTAAAAAATTTTCATCATGTATATATCCTTATGAAAATTTCCTTTTACATTGTTTTTGAGATTCATCAATGATAGATACATGTATGTTTAGTTCATTAATTTTTTATGATATTCTATCATATGACTGTAATATAGTTAATATATAAATTATTCTGATAGATACTTGTTTTTTTTCAGTTTTTCACTACCAGAAATGAATTATGATGATTTTAACATTCTTTTACATGCCTTCTTGAATATATTCATGAGTCTCTCTAAGATATTTATATACCTAGGAATGGGATTATTGGGTCAAAGGTTATGAACCTCTGGAATGTAACTCCATATTGCCAAATTACTCCCAGAAGAAGTTTCTCAATTTATGTTCTCAATATCTGATAAAACATTTCAGAAACTCCACATTTTTAATTGAGATACAATTGACATATAACATAGTTTTAGATGGAAAACATGATGATTCGATATATGTATATATTATAAAATGATTACCACGACAATTTAGGCAGCACCCATCACCACGCATAGTTACAGTTCTTTATTTTTTATGATGAGAACTTTTAAGATCTGTTTTCTTAGCAACTTTCAAATATGCAATACAGTATTAACTACAGTCACTATGCTGTACATTATAACCTCAGTACTTATTTATCTTATAACTAGAAGTTTGTACCCTTTGATTACCTTTACCTATTTTCACTTACCCTTGACCCCAGCCTCTGGCACCCACCAATCTGTTCTCTGTATCTACGAGTTTGGTTTGTTTGTTTGTTTGTTTGTTTGTTTAGATTGCACATATAAGTGAGATCACACAGTATTTGTCTTTCCTGTCTGACTTATTCCACTTAACATAATGCCCTTGAGGTCCCTCTGTGTTTTCACAAATGGTAGTATTTCCTTCCTTTTTTATGGCTGAATAATAGTTCATTGTGTGTGCACACACACGCCTATACACACACATACACACCCTCAGTTTCTTTATTCATTCAGCTGTTAATGGACACTTAGGTAGTTTCCATATCTTTGTTATTGTAAATAATGCTGCAGTTAAAATGGAGGTGCAGGTATCTTTTCAAGATGGTAATTTTGAGAAATGACGTTTTTGAAAATCCCCGTGTTTTTTTTCACACTCAAAAGTTGTCAGTCTCATGGGTGTTAAATATTATGTCATTGTCATTTTTACTGCCTTTTCCTTAATTACTATTAAGTTGAGCTTCATTTCCTCTTTTGCATACTGAAGTTTTCTTTTTGGAAATTGCATATTCCCATTGTTGTACATTTTTTAAATCAGTCGTCTGTTTCTTTTTTTATTAGTAGGAAATATTTTTAGTATTGTGAATATTATTTCTTTATCTATTATCTCTGTTGCAGTAAAAATTTTCCCACCATCTTTGGCAAGTTATTTTACTTTATTTCTGGTTTCTTTTGCTGTACAAAAATTTAAAAATCAATATCAATAGTTAATCTTGTCTGTTTTTCATGGTCTGCTTTTTAGGCCTTGATTTAAAAATACTTTCTTATTATTAGGTCATAAAAGCATTTTTCTAAAGTAAAGTTTTAAAGCTTTGTTTTTCATCTTTAATATCTTTCATGTATGTGAACTTTATTTTTACGTAAGCTAGGAATCTAATTTTATTGTTTCCATGTGGATAATCAGTTGCCCTAAAACCATTTATTGAAAGATATTTCTGCTGCTGTCAAATATCAAGATTCTATATGTCTACATCAGAATTCTGTATTGTGTTTTCCTTGCCTATTTTTCTATCTCCAGGCCAATACTTCTCTGAACTTAACTATTGTAACTTTAAAATAAGTCGCAATATGAAGTAGGCAGAGTGCACCACCTTATTCTTCAAAATTGTCTTGTTGTCTGTTAACCTTTTGAACTTTTATTTTGATTTTTGAATTAAGCTTCTTTTCACCTGTTGAATTTGATTAGTACTAGATTGAATTTACAAGTTATTTGGAAGTAAATTGAAGTATGTGTATTTAATCTTCCTATCTATTACGACACACCTCTCAATTTAATTGTAGCTTTCAGTAATGGTTTATAATTTTCTTCATAAAAATTTTCTCATCTAATTCTTAAATGTCTTGTAGTTGCTATTGCAATTAAGTGATATTTTTATTATTAGGTTTCACTGTCTTTCGCTAATAGTCAGGCCACAATGGAGCTTTATAATTATCTAATATCTACTAAATTCACGTAACTCATTAGTTAACAATAATTTTTTGTAAAGTTTTTGGATTTTCTATACAAACAGTGACAGTTCTGTTTTTTCCAGTCTGTGCATACTTTCTACCCTGCCCTTGGCTTAATGCTCTGAGTAGAAACTTCAGTACCATGTCAGATTGAAACTGAGCCATTATTCTTGTGTCATTGCTGATTTTAAAGAGACTACATCTAAATGTTTTACCTTTAAGTATGATGTTTGCTGTTAATTGAGGGCAATGTTATAAGGGCTAACTTTTTTTTAACTCATTATTTTTAGAGATATTTTAAAGTTATTTACATAAAACTGTCATTCGCCTCTATTAGTGAAGAAGTTTTAACAAATAAGTTGAAGTAATTTGCCCAAAGTCATATGGCAGAGCTAAAATTTGATTCAGGGTAAGCTCCAGAATCCCTACTCTTATTCAAAATGTTATACTACCTAGAGATATTCTTTATCAATTATAGGAAATTCCTTTCTATTCCTGGTTTACTAAAAATTGTTTAATGATGAATAGGATTGAATTTTATCAACTACTTTTACATTAGCTATTGAAAATACATGATTTTCCTTTGTGAGGCTCTTAATGTTATGCTATAATATAGTTTTTCTAACATTAGAACATCTTTATGTTTGTGGGATAAAACCACTTTGTTCATTATTTGTTTTCAATATACTTTGTTGATTTCAGTACACTAAATATTGAATTTCTATAATTATGGTATATAATGTCACAGGTGTATTACCTTCTATTAAAAATGTGAATTATCATTGATCTATTACCATGAGATTACTTTATAATTTTCCTTTCTTATATTGTCCTTGTCCAGTTTTGACCATGAATATACAACTGCCTAACTTTAGGAACATTCTCATTTTTCTAGTATCTAGAATAGTTCGTATAAGATAAAAATCATCTGTTTCTTAAATGTTAACTAGAACTATGTAAAACTATGGATTTGGTGATTTGAGGTAGTTGAATTTTAGTGGTAATAAATCTATTCATGTTTTCTATCTCATCTTAGATTTTTGAAAATCTTTTTCTAAGAATTAGTTATTTTCATTCAAGTTTTCAAATATATTGACATAAAATGTTCACAGCATTCTTTTTATTTGTTGCTATATATTAATATTGTCTAGTATTTTTGTTAATATTGCTTTTAACTATATTATTCATCCCCTTCTATTTTCTCTAGATTTGCTTTTATTTTTTCTAATTTATTGAAATAAATACTTAGCTTATTAATTTTCAGATTTTTTTCTCTTCTAATATGAGCTTTTATGGCTATAAATTTTTCTCTAAGTACCACTTTAGCTGCTTTGCAAAAGATTTAATATGTGGATATTTTAATCATTCAATTCTAAATTTCTTCTAATTGTACTGCACTATTTATTTTTTTTTTTTTTTGGCTTAAGTTACTTAGAGATAATTT